GTTGTCTCAGGCACTAACCGATTCTAATTCAAGTATTTGCGCTGAGTTTTCTTCCTTTATTATTTTTTTTTTTGCTTGTATTTTGTCTGAGGGTGAGGGGTGGAGGGGGGGGGAGCTGTGGTAGAGGCAGACTAAGAATATGTACCTAGAGAAGTTAAATACATGGATGGCGTGGACAAACCACGATGATACGAGTATAATTATGAGAGCACTCGGGTAGGAAGACTTGAACACTGCTGCATGTTTCAGTCCTGGCACTTGACGAAAATGAATTTATATCAATTAAAAGATTTTTTGTCATGCTTTGAATAGTCTAGTCATAGCATACGTTGCTGGAACAATGAATCTTCTATCAGTGTGTTTTGGAATAAAAAAAGGCATACAGAGACGGCAGGCAAGTGGAACATGAATATTCCCTGTCCGCCATTCACTTCTTTTTTTTCAGGATCGAAAGTAATGCATGCTTATTTGCTAATGGATTTTTTATTAAAACAGCGAATAATACATTTTAAACGATCTTCGCTTCTGCAAAAATAATATTCTCTTTGTTCGTCCACCGCGTAAGAGACCGCCCCACTCCTCCTCTCCCACACCCCTCTCTCATCCGTGTTTCCTGAGCGAGTCTATAGCCTACACCAATTCAAGCATGAATCAGAATAGACAACTATACTATACTCGTTACTCTGCAAAAGACGCATCCCGAAGGCTGTAATCTTTATAAAACCTTATTGGTAAGGATCAGGCGCGGTTCTCCATATAGCACAGTCGTGCACTGCCACCCAAAGATTTTTAATGTTCTATTACGCAAAGCACCCACAATAATAAATTAAAAGAAGCTAGAAACAATTACACTGGCTTAATATTATAACTAAACAACAGTTCTAGCGCGTTACGGCCAAATTTGTGTCTATACCGCCGAAACATCTACTATGCCATGCCAAAGTCCACGCGCTTTAATTAAACATAATATGATATTATACTCAACAGTGGTAACCTGACCTATAAATCGCTCTTTGGGATAACCCAAGCGATGACGACACTGGTAGTGAGTTGGGCGGTGCACTTTCTTTCAGAACATGACAATTCGTAGATCATTTCCGATAGTGATGTTGTCTCAGGCACTAACCGATTCTAATTCAAGTATTTGCGCTGAGTTTTCTTCCTTTATTATTTTTTTTTGCTTGTATTTCGTCTGAGGGTGAGGGGTGGAGG